TGCCAAGCCACCACTAAACGGCTTTGAGAGCAGCAAAAAGCAGCGCGAGGAGCCGGGCAGCACCCGTTGACACAGATCTAATCACCCCAGCATTTGCCCCAAATGTCTCTCTGCCAGGCAGTGACATTTCTGCGCTGTCTCCGCTCTCTCCCTCCATCACCATGGTTACAACAGCCGCCAATCCACTGGCGAGTCCTTCCAGGGTACCACCAAACCCTTTGGGAGATGATGTGAGAGCCAGCCCCTTTGGCAGGGAGACACTTCGGGGACCCCGGGACAGCCCAGAGCACCAAAAATTCCCCTTTTTTCTTCTTTCCCTCCTCCTTTTTTATTTTCTCTTTTTCTTCTTTTTTTGAAGCACAAACAATGGAGCTAAAAGGTTGGGTATCAGGCCGATAATCATGAATGACGTGTCGTTATTACACACCACACATTCATTATCTCCCACTCCAGCCATGTCACAGGCGGCTGGAGGAGGGCAGATAACGGGGTGCCTTCATGCAGATGGCTTATTATCAGGATGTTCCAGGAGGGGCTTTAAGACAGTTAGTGATGCTGTTTGCCAGTTAAAGATTAGAGACCCCAGAGAATAATTAACAATCCCAAACCCCAGTTTTTCTGCTGGATTCTTCTGCTTTCTCCCCCCTCCCCATCCTCTTTAATCTATTCACTCTAGCAGGTGTAATAAAGTGATAAGGACAGGCTCCGGGGATGTTTGTTTGGCTACTACGGGTGTATAAACCAACAATGGATGGTATTTTATTTCTGGCTTTCACTGCCTTGAATCAAGACCAAAAACTTTGCAGCCCCCTTGCCCCCACACAGCCACCCCTATATGCCACATTCCCAGTTCCCACCTGGGTGACCGAGCTTCTTCTCCAGCCCAAAGGATCACAACAGTGGGACAGGCTCCCTTTTTGCTTCTGGATGCCCAAATTGCACCTCTGGGGTGTCAAGGTGCCCAGTGCCAGGACACAAACCCCAAGATACACTGCTCAGGAACACAGCTGGAGCTAGTGGTCCTTCCAGCAGCCATTTGCCTCCATACAGCAAGTCCTTAATTAAGCCACCTTAAAATAATTTATATGGTAGGTATCCACCTGCCTGAGCTGCTCCAGGGCTGTGGTCACAGCTGAAACATCTTAAACATCCATCCCTAAGGTACCTCAGGAGAGATCGGGGGAGTATCAGAGTAAAGGTGGCTTTCAACAACATGTTCTGTTATCAGGGGATCCAAGACATGACTTGCACCCTTCTAGGCCATAAAGGAAAGCTGTGATATATCTTATAATAGGGCAGCAGTGCAAAAAGACCATTCTGGATGTCTTCTGCCTAAAAAGGCTATCCTGTCCACAGGAGGTCCCAACCCTGAACATCTTTCTGAAGCGCAAGCTCCAGAGATACTGGCATTTCAGTGAGGGGTAGGATGGGGTACCCATCGGTGTCCTTCCCCTTCACTGTTAGGCATGGGGTGACTTGTAGAAGACACAGTCACCTCCTGTGCTGTGTGGAGAGAGGCCTTGCAGTTTTGTCCCTCAGGCAATTTGGCTTAGGGGCCTTTGGAGAGGTCACAAAGGCTGCTCGAGGTGCCCATCACCTGGAAGCTATCAGGATGCTCTGGAGGGCATCCCCCAGCTCACAGGGTCAATGTGGCAGGCGCAAATGCTGGGATGCCAGAAGTTGCCTTCCCGATCACGATCACCCTGCCAGGGAGGGATGAGACAGCATTGTGCTTTAAAGAGCATCCCCAACACTATCAGCAAGAGATGAGATATCCTAATTATGGCAGAACAGGCGAGGATCCGGGGCCGTATCAGCCAGCACAGAAAGGTAAACAAGAAATATAACAATGGACCCTTAACACTCATTAGCTGTGTCAGATAATACCTCACTTTTCTCCCTTTGGGCTTAAAATCTAATTAAGATTTTCCAACAATAAATTTCATTTATGCTCGCTCCCTTTTGTTCTTTTTAGGATCACACCAAGAAGCATCTACAGGCCTGCTGCATGGCTTGTGGGAAGGCAGCCTGCTTCGCACAGACAACCTCAGGTCATTCTTGACAGACAAGGGAAACTGAGGCAGGACTGTCTGGAGGGGACATCCCAACATGGAGTAACACACTAGCTCTTGCAAAAGACATTTTCCCTAGGAAAGTGAACTCTGAAGGGGCACTGGCTGGGAGAAAACCAAGCATTGAGGCTCCTGGGCTAGCCCAAAACGTGCAGCTGTAAAGCCCCATCCTTCTTCTTGCTTGGACCTATCACCATGGAAGGGATCCACTGGGAAAGAGACACTGATATCCACAAAGTCCCCAGCACATCTCCACTCCAAACCCACATCCAGGGGAACAGCTCAGGCATTCATCACATATTCAGGGTGTGCACAAGGCAGGGAATAAACTCCCACTGTTACTCATTATAAGGATGCCGTTTCTAACTCCTTTTGCAACCGAGAGGTAAAAATTAATGGGTTCTCCTCCTCTCGCCACACCCCCAGCCTGAGTGCTGATGCAGCAGGAGCACACAATGACTAATCCTCCTTAAACCCTGCTGAGCGAAGCTGAACTCTGAGGAGCTTGTTTTTTTCCAGACCCTCATGATGTTTGGCACCTGCGAGAGGAAAGTCAAGGGAGCAGCATCCATCAGGGGCGTGAGTGGGGAGGTCCCCAGCCTGGGGCTGGCTCAGCCTCCCCAAGGGAAAGCGGTAGAAGGGAACAGCTCTGATGTGATGCTGGGGACAGCAGCCACCATGCCTTGACCCCTCCAACCCTTCTGCCTGTTTTCTTCTACCCCCATGCAATTTCTCAACTGGAGCCATGATTTCTCAATGCTGGGTCTTGAGGGTGCATTCAAAACACTTGCCTACGTGAGGTTCTTCGGGGAGAAGCCTTTCAGTGGGTCTGTTACAGGAAGGCTCCTGGTTTACTCCTTTGCCTGAATTTTTGTGTCGCCACCTACTAGGGAAATCAACAGCTTCCCCTGTGGAAAGTAAGAAGCAGCCCTTGGTGAGTGGTGGCACCAGGCTCCAGCTTAGGGAGCTGGGACTCCATCCCAGAGGGATCCCAGCAGTGGGAAGTGACCTGAGCTCCCCACCAGGACTGTCACATCTTCACTTTGGGGAATACTCATCAAGTTTCAGTGCTGTAGGAAAACAGGGTGTTTTGCAAGTCCCTGCTTAGGGAGAAGCATGCTGCCTGTACCATGCTGGCCAGCACCTCCTCCAGAACAGGCTTGGGGCTTTTAAGGTCACTGGCAAGCACAGGGGAGCAGATAACAACCCTTGCAGCAGGAAAGCCCCTTCAGAATTGAAAAACAGAGCAGGAGCTGTGCTAGTGAGAGGCAAAGAGGTATTTTCAGCCCCAACACCCCCCCTCCTGTTTCTGCCATTGCTGCCTGCAAATGAGTCTCCAAAGCACCCCCTGAGTAGAGGCCAAGGCTCCTCCCAGATCCAAACCCATCAGAGCTGCTGTTTCACAGCAAGTCTAACATTTCCCCATGCTTCAATACTCAAGAGAAAGTGAAAGCAAGAGGTAGCTCTTGTCTTCGTGTTTGCACAGCCCCAGGCACAGCAGAGCCCCAAAACCACCCAGCTTCCCATTATCCCAGGGGCTGCCAAAATGCCCCTCCTATAAACCCCCCAGCCCATCACAGTCCTGCTCTACTTGTAGCCCCTGGGCTGCCCTTGATTGCAGAGCCCCTTAACCCTTTCCTTGCTGGTCAACGAGAGCACACTGCACACCACTTGGGCAACTGATGTCCCAGGGAAGGCCAAGGCATTACAGGTCTCTCATGTTGATCTGGAAACATCATGGCTTGGGAGCACTTGTTGCTCCCATGGTGGTCCCAGCACTGTTCCCATACAGCAAAACATGGAGCCTGGTTAATGAACAGCCTGGCAGGAGCAGGCTGCACCATGTCCAGCTGCCCCTGGGGGAGCCAGCACTGCCTACAGCAGCCCCCAGCCACATCCTGGCGACAGCAGTGATTGCCATTCACAGCCATGGGAATGGTCCCCAGCTGGCTATGGGTCTGTGCCCTGTGGCTGGTGTGATTCAAGGAGTGCTGGCTTTCACCCATTAAGCATCACTGGGAAGTGCTGGATTGGTGCCGTGCCTCAGTTTCCCCACCTGGCAAATGGAGGGGATGATGCTCACCTCCCTGTATGGCCCTTTGTGACTCTGGGGTGATCCAAATGCTTAGCAAGAAAAATGTTCTACCTTTTTCTCTTGCCTTTTGATACACAGACACACACAGAATCACTCTTGGCTTCATCCAAGTGAGGAAGTAAGAGATGGAGCTTACCCGGGAGGGATCACAGGGGAGGATGCGGGTGCTAACTTCTAAACACCTTTCCCGACCCCAGGACACTGCCTTCCCTCATACCACCTTCCTCAGTGTCCCTTCCTGAACTGCCCCGAAGGCTGGGAGTGCCTCGAGATCAGATGCCAGAAAGTCTTTAGGAAGATTAGCAAAATGACCCTCTTTGCTGTCCTATGGGCAACATTTCTCTTTATTGTTCACAGGGAAGATATATACAGGGGAGAAGGTTTGTTCTGACATTAAAATGCATGGTGTAGGCCCTAAAAAGGAGGGTAAAAGGGGGAGAAGAAAGCAGGTTTTGCATCAGAAGCTCCCTGGAGGGCAGCTCGAGGTCCCAGGCACTGAGCACAGACCCCTCCGTGTCTGGAGCAGGTCAGCACCCCTTGGGACCAGGGACATCAGCCTCACTAACGATGTGTGGTGACTGCTCAATAGGAGAGGTGGCACCCCTGGACCTCTCCTGGGGAACAATGCCCATGTGGACATCAGCCCTTGGAGCAGAAGAGCACGTCACACGGATGGGAAGGGAAAAGATGAGGAGGTGGTGCTGCTGTGGAGAGGCTGGGGAGCGACACACACGCATGAGGGATGTCAGTGCAGAGGGTCCCTGCGAAATGCCCATCGCAACAGCAGGAAGCAAAGTGAGAGGAGGAAAAAGGGCAGCCGGATGCATTGCCTGCTACATGGCAGTGGTGATCACCCTCTCCTCAGGCTCCACGTTGTTCTCATAGGCGTGCTGGCTTTCTTTGGACCTGCGTTGGGAGGGAGAAGCACAGTGCTGAGCTCACCCCAGCAAGACCAGCCTCCTTGAAGGCACCACCAGTGTCCTGACCTTGCCAGTGCTGACCATACATTGAGCAGGGATGAGGTGGGAAGGCAGGCGGGGTCCCTCTGCCAGGAGGAGAGCCAAGCACAGCGTGGGAATTGCTCTGATTTCTAGTGGGGGCTATTTTGACAGTCAACATCTGTGTGGTGACCTATGGCCACTTCTGGTGGTTTCCTGTTTGAAAAGTGTGATGTAGCGTAAGGAAAATGTGGTGTAGCAGGTTGCATGGTGGTGGATGGACCACAAGGCTAAGCTGCAGGGATGGGGGGAGACTGGGGAGTAGAGAATACTTCTCCTTAGCCCCTAGAGAGGATAAAAGCCCCAAAACCATGTGCATGGGACATTTGAAACCCCAAGTGGGAGAGACCATGGCTCTGCACGTCTGAGCTGTCCCCAGGGTGCCATTGGGGAGGATATCTGAGCAAGTTCACCTGAAGTCGGCTGCAGCACTTATGTATTTCCCTTCGTGGCCATTGGACACGACAGGATCCAGCTTGTCCTCAACGCTTACCACCCTCTCAACGTTTTCCCTGGAGGGAGAGAAGAGAAGAGCTGAGACAGAGCAACGGAGGGGCTGTGCCGGGGAGCAGCTCACAATGGTGATGGCAGAGAGGAAGAGACTGCTCCAACACTAGAGACAATAAGGGACGGAAAGCACGATCCTGGCCTTGGACACCCAGCTCAGACCCCTTCCCAGCAGGATATGGGAGAGGAGAGATGCCCTCATGACAGGTTTGCAGGGGCCATTCCAGATGCTGAGTGCCAACCCCTGTCTCTGGATCTGGTGCCCAGTGCCAGGCTGGCAGTCAGCAAGACTCATTTGTCAATACATGGATTGTTTTGTCCCACTAACTGGTTTTTCCAGTCTTCTTCTATGTAATCTGTTGCAAAATAGTCCCAGACGGGCCCCAGCTGACACTGAGGGAAATGCTGAGGCTCTGCTGGTGTCGCAGCCTGGGAGGACAGGCATGTCCAGGCATATAGACCCGTGCTGATTTCTCACAGATGCAACTATGGATTGCTCACAGGAGGAGCCACGGGGCAAGGACTGGGTGTTCAGCCTCAGCCAGAGCCTAAAAGCTGACCTCTGGAGCAAGCCCCATAGCCCAAATGGTGCTGGGGCAGTTGATCAGAGGGTGGGTGCAGGTCCACCTGTGTGCACATCCCTGCCTCCTCCAGCCCTTGCCCAAAAGTGATTCAGAGGCTTTTCCTAGGAACAGACTGGCATAAACAGGCAGGGCCTTGAGCTGAGAGCGGCTATCTCAACAACAGCAGGTAGCTGGCAGTGCTCCAGGCTGCTGAGCATTGCTGCCTGCTCTTCTGAAGAGACCAGATTAATTAAAACAAGCCGCTGTGCCCCCTCAAGCCCTCCTCAGCATCCTCTGCCTCTGGGCTGGGAAGAGGCAGCTGGGCACAGGCAGAGGTGGGACTCATCATCCCACCATCCCTGCCTCTCACTCCATGGGCTGGGGGCTCCTCCACTCCAAGGACAAAGGTTCCTCTTTGGAAAGTGAAGACCGCAGTTGCAAATCAGACCAATATATATAGAAATATATTTTTTTATGCAATGTATATTATATAGATAATGCAATTTGTGTATATATGTATAGAATATATATAATGTATAATTGTATATATACAATGCAGCCCAAAGGGCCCCCTTTAAATGCATCTGAGACAGAAGCCAACCTGCTGAGCACTGGGGTACACCCCAAGTCCCCACCTCCTTGGCCCTGGGAGGCTGCAGGGTTGCACAGATACAAGAAGACTACAGCACCTTTGGGCGCAAAGCCCAAAGTGACCATGCTGGTGCAAAGGAACTGGGAACCAGGATATAGGGCAGTACAGAACTTCACTCCCTTGTTGACTTTGGGCTCAGGTTCAAGACCAATTTGATGCAACTTCTCCAGTTAGCCACTTAGCCAGTTAGGTCGGCTGAGCAGCAGCAGTAAAGCAAAGCAGTGGCTTTGCTTGGCTGGCAGCAGGAAAGAGGTAGCCAGACTTACAGAATCTTTTCCTGATGAATAAGACCACCTTGTTTGTGCCGTGGGCTCCGGATGAAGAGCACAGCCACAGCTCAGCTACCTCCCTCTTCTCCCAGCTCCTCTCAGTGCCTTCTGATGACCTGGCTCAGCCTGCTTTGCAAATGATGCTTTTGGGGGCTTGTTTTCCCATGGATATAAGGCATCTGTGAACTGCACCCCCAAAACCATAGGAAACCAGGCTCAGGCCCCTGGGACACATGCCCATGTAAACCAGCCACAATGCTGCGGCTCTCCCATCCCCTGCACAGCGCTTTCTCACACAGCTTGTACCTGGCAATGAGTAACAGAGAGCATAGACCAGGACAGGGAGGAAAGGACAGGGAGGAAAGGACAGGGAGTCTTTGCTCTCCCCACCCAGCTCCCTGCACGGTGATCACAGTGTTCCCACCCCTGGCATGAGGACAGAGGCAGCTGGAAGTGACCCGTGCAGAAGCAGCTACACCCAACCCAAAGCAACCCCTGGGGCTCCCACACTTACACTTTCTCCTTACACCAGAACTTATTGACCACGAAAGCGATGGCCACCAGGACTAGAAACACAACCACCGCGATGACACCCTGCAACCACGGCTGGAGATTGCCCCGCGCTGCAGGAGAAAGGAGAATATGTTAGAAATACATCCTCAGTCTTCACCTACCAAGCTTCTCCCATCCAGCTTCAGCAATGTCCAGCCAAGAGCTTGGTCCTGCAAATCTGAGCAGAACATGTTGCTGTTAATCCAGGCAGATTTACCTGGGTGATGGCAATGACATAAAGTAACAAATAACAACAGTTTTGTTGGCCTTTGAATGTGGAGCATGTGCCTTGCAGGTTTGGGGTCCTGTATATACATGTATGTATAGAAATATGATATATGTATATATATATAGATATACGTACACAGTGGGGTGCAGATGATTCCGCAATGGGGGGACAAAGGGCTGGGGGACAGGGAGGGAGGAAAGGAGATTGTTTGCCTGAAGTGGCAGGAGAAGGAAGGCAGACAGATTTCAGCAAACTTTATTCTCCATCCCCAGATCCCACTGACGTCATTCCCTGGTTATTTTCCAAATACTGCCTGGTAAAACAAGGACCTTGCGACAGGGATGGTGTAAAAAACACAAAACTCTCATAGCAAACAGTTGCCAGTGTGGATTTCAGTAAAACACACCATTCAACAAGTTTCCAGAGCAGCAAACTGATTTATGACGGGAAATTGAAGGCTGAAGCATTCAGAGCAACAGCCTCCAGTGCAAAGTCCAGGCAGGGCTGGCGGGGGGCCAGGCAGCAATGGGGGGAGGCAGTGGGTGGCCAGTAGCTGGCTGCAGCATCCCTGGTCCCCCCTGGGGTGGGTTGCAATCACAGGTTCATTTGTCTCTAGCCAGACATAAGCAGTGATCCAGCCACGGGTGGGGAGGTTGCAAAATGTATTCTGGATGTGTGAGGAACTCAAGGGATGAGGGATGAGAAGAGGAAGCCTTGTCCCAGTCCTTGCTGGGGTGGCTGCTCCTTGCTTCCCACTGGTTTTGGGCTATGGAGTACTCAGATGTAGTCAAATCCACCCTGAAGTGCTGTTGCATCAGGAGACCTTGTCCACACAGATGCATCCCTTTGGGAATTCATTACTACATATTCAGGCACAGCTTTTCCTCTTTCTGCCAACCCTTGCACATAAATGAGGTCCCTCTCTGCAGGCAGGTGGAAGATGCTACCTGCCAGCCCCAGCATCAGTCTCTGACCATGCGGACCCAACCTGCCATAAGCACTCAGGAGGCTGAGCACATTGGTGCTGCAATCTTGACTCGGGAACATTACACTAGCTGAACACTTACTCTGTCTCACGGGAGACAAATGAAACAAATCTCTGCTGTAAACAGTTAATAAACTTTACTAGCAGCAATAAAGTTGGGCTGCATTCTCTGTGCGTGAAGAGTCCTTATAGGCAGACAGCTCCACTGCTGATAGCCCTCATCTTCCCCTGGTTTTAGGGGTGGGGGAGTCCTTACCGCCAGAGGCTTTTATTTATCAAAACAAAACAAAACACCACAAAGCAAAGCTCCTTTTTCCTCTTGGAAGCGCAATCAGCCTGGCTGGCTGACTCACCTCCTGTGCCAGTCCGGAAAGCAGTGGCACCCCTGGTAAGCAGTTGTGAGAGCAGCCCCAAACAGCGTCCTTCAGTCCCTCCACCTCCCAACAGGGACACTTGCCATGTTTAGTGCAAGGTCCTGGGGCCAAAACTCAAGTGGGAGGAATTCAGGCAGTAATTCCCACTTGTATCAGTGTTTTGGATGAAATCCCATTATACCAGGAGGCTGCTGGTAGTGGTACCAGGGATGGTGGCAGTGGTGAAGAGCAGGGTTTGGTCCCCTCCTGCCCTACATGATGGGCACAGATGCTCCAGCTGCCCGCCACCCCATGGGTGCAGCCCCATCACACCTATTGCCTCCAGGCTGAGCTTTGGCCTGTTTTGCTTCCTCCCTCGCTCTGCCCTTGGCTGTTAGCTCAGCCACATTTATTTATTAGTTGCGGTGTATTTTTCCTGCCAGAGCCAGGGTTTCCAGCCTAAGCCTAGGAGGGGATGGCCAGGTCCAGCCTGCGGTGAGGTTTCTGCTCTGGTTAAGAGAGCTCAAGGTCAATAAGGGAATGAAGTCAGTGATGACCATGCTCAGGAGGTACTGTTTGGTTTTGCCAACAAAACTACACTCAGACAGCTGTTTCCACCAGATTTCAGAGCATCAAAAGCCAAAAGGTAAATTACCAAACCAAAATCAAGTGGTTCTGGCTTTGAGAGACCCTGTAGAGACCAGTTGCAAGGGGAGATGGTAGATGATGGATGATGGAGATGAGGATAGCAGGGGGAACAGTAAATGCCTCTGCATGGGGCTGAAATAGCCCCATAGGGCTAAAATGCCCCCGTGGGCATGGAATTTGCATGGGCATAAGAAAGGAGGAGGCAAGAGCTTGATAGCATCTTCTATCAAGGGAGTGACTATGTGGATCACAGCCCCGGGGGGCACTGCCTGGTTGGAGCCCCACCAGAGCACACCTTGCTGCCCTGCCAGGAGGGGTGGCTGAAAGGATGACTCTTACCGGTGGAAACGGGACCATGCCCCTGGAAAAATGCTTTACCAGGGATGTCCCTCCTGGCACAGCCTGTCCCTTCAGCTCTGCCACCTCCTCTCTGTTTTGCCACATGGTAATGACAGGGTTTTTCTGCCCAAACAAGATCTCCTACGCCAGATTAAGCAATGTGGGATCTGCAACCCTGGCAGATGTATGTCCATGCATCTGTAGCTACAAATGAAACCAAGGGAAGAGCTGATGACAATATATTGCATGTGTTGTAACTCCATTTCCGTCCTCAGCAGCTGGCTGGAAGACATAGATCTTTTTTGATACATCTTCCCTGAGTGCTTGGAAAGCATCTGCTAGCCTGTCTTATCCACTAAGGAAGCTGTGCCAGGCTCTGAACCCTCATTAAAGGCTTTATTTCAACCCCCTCTTTCCAGGCAACAGCAAAACTTCCAATCCTGCTGACAGTGGAGACCCCAGACTGTTAAATCCTCAGCAAG